TCGAAGGCCACTTCACGTGCTTCATCCGACAATGGCGGTGGTGAAGGCAACGATGCCGGAGTCATGGGCGGCGTGAGGATCCTCCATAACTCGTCCGCTCTCCTCAGGAGTGACAGCAACCAAGGCTGAAGACGAGGAAGACAACAAGAAACACCCAAAGAAGACATGCATCCATGCAAAACAAGGGGTTTACATTCAGCTAAGTCTTACTTGGTTTAAAGGTTGTCATGCGTGGAATGCGTGACCTAATAGTAGCAAATCCATCCTTTATCTCATTAATGGAGGTCTCATGCATTATGGTTGGATTTGAGGACATCTCTTGCATCTCAATCTCTTCGATATCCTTTTTTGATTTAGGCTGGTTATTGGTCATTTTACGGAGATACTGTTAGTTAATGAGAGCCGGTTAAAAGAAAAGGCAACATGCGAGGAATGTACTTGTTAACAACAACAGTGCAAAAAACGGAAAGTACCTTCTTCCTCAAACACCAGGTAATCCACCCGGCAGCCAACCCAAAGACCGTCACGCCAAGGCCGCTAATTAACCCTATGGCCCAGTTCGAAAACAGCTCTGTGGCAAATTCTGCCCCCAATACCGCTTTTCCCTCCAACACCGTTAGAGTGATGTTAGCACGGTCACCAGCCAGGATGTTTGTCTCAGGCAAATTATTAAGAACGGAGACCAAAATTGAAGGCTTGGTAACAACTAGAAGAAACAGATTTTGATATATAAGTTGAATAATGGCTACAAGCTGTTCTAAGCTCTTACCAAGGGCTGGGGTAGTTGGTGTTGTTGTTTCCGCAGATGTTTGCGTCGTCAGCAGCTCAGGAACGATATTGCTGATGGAGATTGACTCTGGAATGTGAGCTGTGGTGACAGAAGCGGTAACAGATGTCGCCGCCGTCGCCAAGATCGTCAAAGTTGCTGAACTTTCCACCTCCGTCGAAGACTCTGTCACCTCCGACACTTGAATTGAAGTCGAAGAAACCCCAAAACGTTCCAATTCAACCGAAATCTGACGAGCCACACACAACTTGACCGGATCCACGAACGAAGCACAAAAAGTTCCCTCACACCGAGTAGGAGCCAGCAGTTCAACTTTCTGCATAAAACACAACAAGATGAAAAAACAGCTCGAAACCTGTTTCCATTCACCAACCTTTATGCCGAAGAAGTCCAGACATCCGAAATCCAGGACTGGACCAGTCAGCACTATCTTGCCTTTGAACTCCGGTGCCCTGAACGCGTCCGAGTCACACGCCTCCGTACAATGAAGGCGGCCATCTTTGACGACACACCTGCCGGATGACGCATCTGGATGCACCACCAGCAACACCAACAAGAAGGACATCGCGAAACCCGCCATTTTTGAATGTAACTGTGAAAAATTCCAAAAGATGCACTTGGACCAGATCTGATCCGATTTTGTTAAGGAGTCTATGGGAAATTACCTTTTCGTTGAAAAATCACAAACCGAACGGTGAAACTTGTCAAAACTAGCAGGAAATCTTCTTTACACAACCTAGAACCTAACAAACTGTTTAGTTTTTTCAGTTTGAACCGCGTTTCGCGCAAAAATCGATCGTTACGAGTATCTCGCGAACAAAAATTGCGAACGAAAAAACGCGAAATTCACCCCTATTTTCGACCGAAAACCGCCCAAAAACAATGGGAATGTGTTTTAAGAACACTAAAGAACAAGATCAAGCGAAAAGATACGCGAAATAAGCGAATTTTAAACTTAACAGTTTTTAATTAAGGGCTTAAGGGGGTCAGGAGCACATACCTGGAAGGGGGTGTAAGGTGAACTGAGGAATCAGGCATTGGAATGCCAGATCTGTGCAGCTTCCTGGTGAACTTGAAAGGAGTTGAGGGGAGGCAGATATGGTTATTATTACCATTCTTATTGCCCCCCATGAGAACGTTTTCCTGTGTAATGTCTTTCAGCATGGCTGAGACGTGATCAGGGGAGGTGTGGGAATCAAATGAAAATTTTGATCCTTTTTCCCGCTGACTGAAACACTTTTGACACTTGTGTACGCAGGAGCTTTTTCTCGTTTACCAGGGGAGATTTGTAGTCATATTAACGACCACAACACCCTTCACTTTACGCACGACCCTTTTAAGCTAATGT